AATACCAGGATTGTGGGTCGTCTGTACATGTGGCGTTGCTCTAACACCTGACGTAGTGTGAAGATGTGGTCAACGCAGCCTCTATCCGGTCGAAATCCCGGTTGATTCTCACGAGTCAGGACCTCGCGTGCCGCCATGAGACGACAAAGAATCAATGACGCCAGAAGCCTTGTCACAACAGGCGTCCAGTTAACGCCTCTGTGGTTGCTACATTCACCGCGAGTACCCTTTTTGAAAAGGGGACAGTCTCCTTCTCCCAGATAAACCCAAATAGGCTAGACAGGCACTGGCTGAGGAATCCACTGCCATCCTTGAAGAGAGCAGGTGAAGGTCGTCAGGGCCAGCAGCACGATGACGCTTGAGTAGAGAAATGCTTCTGAGACTGAAGGCGGCTCCATATTTACGGTCCACCTTTCTGTTGAAGGCCGGGTTTCTGGATTGGGGTTAGCAGGTGGCCAGCTGAATTGTTGTTCGAAGTACTGTGCCCAGCGATCCAAACGTTCTGCTTTGCTGCATATCAGGGAGCCATTTTGGTCCCTGATTGTTTCACTGACAAGAGGTTTCCGAGGACCAGTCGAACGAATCAACTGGAATAATTTGCGCACGTTTCCATTCTTTGCATCTTCCATTTCTTCGACCTTTCGGGTCCATCAAGCTTCTCGGTCTGCGCGGACACTCAGTTTCACCTGGCGTCGGGTGATGCGCCGGATGGAGTTGTGGTGGCGACCAGGTGGAATTTGTCGCCGGGTCTCCAGCAAGGACACGGTCCAATCAGAGATTCAATGCTTGGATGAGGTTGGCTGGGTTGTACGGCAAGCGGACGCTCCTGCTTTGAGAAGCGCCTTGAATACATTTCCCAGTGGCTGTTTATAATCAACACCGTACCGTCCGGCAGGCATTCGAGGAGCTGGTTTTGACAGTTTCGTTTGACTACTGGGTCCACTAGCTTCTCAATGGCTAAGTGAGGTGTGTGCGTTTTGCGTACACCTCAAAAATGCAATGAAAAGCAGCAGCGTAAAAGTGCGTGGTCGGAGTCCACGATGGTCTTCCAGAAGGAGAGGCAGGCGGTGATCGACCCTCGCCACCGATTACTGACGGCGATGTGGTCTATTTGGATTCGCCGCTGCTTTGATGCTGGGCACCACGTTGTCAAGCGATTTCCGCTGTTCCCGAAATTCGTACTGCATAGGGACAGCCTGTGATCACCGTCACGAAGAGACTGGACCTTACCGTGGTGTGACGGTTTGCGTACCTCAGCGATTCATTGAGCTATACTTGAGAGTGTCCCGCGACACTCACAGAGTCTCTCATACCAGGTTGGTCAATGGTTAGGGGTCTGACGAACACAGTCTCTTGGCCCTCCAGGTTGGGGGTTGGAACATGTGGCGACTTGTTCCGTAGAAATGGTAATGCATTTGCATTTCCCGCCAAAAACCGCTGCCTTGCGGTTAGGCTTTTGAGCCAAAGGCTTTGGATGAGGACCCTAATCGTCCTCCTGTCTAGGTGTGGGCGCCCTGGCAGTATCCCAGCCCACGTACAACCATGAAATGCACATACACAAATAAATTCATGCCACATCGGCCGTCGCGTGGTGACATCAGCCGGGTCGCCTTACTTGCTGCATACAGCAGGGCGGGTAAGCGAAAACAGGCTACTGCTGACGCCTCCCTTCTTTCTCCTTCAAATACTTTTTCTTCCCCCTCTCCCCACTCCATTAATAACTCTCTCCTTGTAGGCCCAGCACTTAGGACTGATGACTCCGTTCGTCATGCGTCAGTTTTGCGTGCAGCATCTGCTCGTCACACGGTGCCGACATCTTCAGGAATCTCCAAATCAGTCCTCAAGCCTCGACACCCAGTCTATCTGGCCGCGTTCAATGTCCGCACTTTGAAACAAGCAGGACAACAGGTTGCATTTGCACTCGCACTGGACTCGCTTGGCATTGATGTGTGCTGTGTCTCAGAAACGAGAATTCAAGATGCAAGCACAGTGATTGAGTTAGCCGCCCCGTCAGTCTCCACTCGCTTCTGGCTACGCAACTCTGGTGATCCAGAGGCTGCTGCGGTGGGATGTGCAAGGGTTGGTATTGTGCTAAGTCACCGGGCGGAAGTATCCTTACTTGACCGGATACCTGTTGATAGTCGCCTCTGTGCGGTTCGCCTGGCAACGTCTGAAGGATTCTCACAAGCGGCAAGTTGATAGATGTCTGTTCATCGTGTCTGCCTATGCCCCAACTGATTGTAGCTCTGACACCGTCAAAGACCGATTTTACGACGCCCTGAATGCTCTGCTGCGGCGAGCTAAAAGCTCAGACATTGTGGTGGTTGCCGGAGGTATGAATGCGCAAGTGGACAGGCTCAGTGTTTCTGAGACTCAATTGAGTGATCGTCTTGGTTTGGAAACTAGACTCACGCACAACGGAAACCGGTTACTTCAGATGTGTGCCGATCACGGGCTCATCATCATCATCATCGACAGCATGACATCAGTGTTCAACACCAATGCTTCACTGCCGTACAACCATGACTTATTTGAAAGCCTTATTGTAAACAAAAGAATAAAGGTGGATGGGGGAGGTACCTACACCTCCAGACATTCACTCAGGCAATTTGGACAGAAACTGACAACAAGAACGCCACTGACATCGGGTGGCAGCCATATCTTGTAGTGTCTCCAACCAGGC